TTTGAGGGTTCGAGAATTTGGTTTTGTAATTTATGTAATTTATAGTGATAATGATCGGGAATTTTCGACTTTGGATTATACTCTGCCGATTTGAGTTTGGAATATATGGATTTTAGATGACGCGTTTTTGGAGGATGGAGGAATTTTAGTGTTGTATGGGTGATTTTGGAGAGTCAATGATGGACGGAGGAAGATTTTGTTTGTGTTCGAGGAATCGAGAATTTGGTTTTGTAATTTATGTGTCATTTATAGTAATAATAATCGGGAATTTTCGACTTCTTCTGGTGTGAGTTTTCAATACATAAATTTTGAATGTGGTTTTGGAAAATGAAGATTTTTTAGACTATTCTGTATAAGATTTTGGAGAGTCAACAACGGAACACAGGGAAGATTTCACGTTCGTGTTCGAGGAATCGAGAATTTGGTGTTATAACGAGTGAAAGGTTTTTTGGAATTTGTGTTTGACGAAGGGAGCGGTATTCCGTTGTTTGAGTTAGATTAGACGCTCTGTGTGTTTCTACTGGAAAACTGCCTACCTTGTCGAAGCCGGAGAACACGCGATGCGAAGAATAGACACCCTTGTCCTGCGGGTAGACCCGGTCTTCGGGATCCCTCGAGCAAATACGGTCCATCGATTTCGAGTATCACTTTCGAAGTGTCCGGAAATGTGTCCTTCGTAGCCTGAAACCGAACGTAGAATTTTCCAGTGAATAGAAGTGCTTGTTAAGAACCACAGTGCGAGCGTACATATGTAGCGAGGTTGAAACAATGTTAACCCTTTGCACTCGAAAGGTGACTCAATCACCATTCGATATAACAAAACTACAAAATGTTATATATAATATTATGTTTCATCACATCAATATGTAAAATATTTATATAAAATACCTTCGTTTCTTAATTTACGTATTTCTCATTAGTTTCCAAATAATGCCGTTTAGGAAAGTGTCGAATATTTCTAGTGGAAAGCTTCCGAGTGCAAAGGATTAAAAGTTCTCTCATATTCCTAATTACTATAAACTTTCAAAGAATATATTATAAACACCTACAACTAACTTAACACTAGAACTACTAAGCATTTGATACGATTGAAATTTAATGGCTATGAATATGTAACAATAGATTATTTCAGGTTTCTTCAGACATTCATCATATTCAAGTGAATATTCAACGCTTCGAAGATAACCCTTTGCACTCAGAAGTTTTTCACTAGAAATACTTTAACATTCTCTGATGACACGAAATCGATATTTTACGAAACAAAGTCGATGAGAAATCATGCGTACAGTGAGGAACTAAGCTATTCTATTCGAATATTTCTCAAAACGATGCATTATAGGAAATATAATATTAAACATCAATTTCATAGTTTTACTGTGTGAAATCAAGTGAGAGTTACCTCTCAAGTTAAGGGTTAATAGCAAAACAGAAAAACCAGTCATTTCACTGGTACGGTAGTTCCAGTTATAAACACTCTTAAAAATCCAGAGTGCTTTCCGATCGTCTTTCCAATTTCCATCAGACAGAAATCGCGTCGGGTAAAAAACGATCGCGTTCATCGCGAAAGTTCGCCAGTCGATTTACGCGTGGCGCGGAATAATTGCGACGCACGCACGCTCGCACGCTCGCTAGGAAATTACTCTGTAAATAAATCGCCCGTGATCGTTCCCCTGTTGGACGCGTTTCCGATCGCGTATATTTAGTGCCGGCCGCGTCTAATTCAGCCTCGGTTCACCGAAGAATGACTAATTCGACGGCGTCGAGGGACGCGCGAGCCGCCGACGCCGGACATTTCAAAGCGGCGATCGCGCGGAGGGGAGAATTTGACCCCTTGAACCGGATAGCGGCCGCGAGCAGAAAGAGCACGCCGAGTATCGGAAGCTTTGGCAGTGGCTCACGGTCAAGCGGATCGGGAAAAAAGTTGCGGCGCGATGGCGGGCTGCCAGGATTACTTTCGTGGCGTTAAATTAATTTCGACTCACCCCGTGGACCATCCCCGTGTCTTCCTCCTCGGGGCCCGAGCTCGAAGAAGTTCGAGGAGCGCTGATATTCTAAACATCCCTCGGAGGAGGATTTCCCTTTCGAAACATTCCTCGCCCAGTTCGCCGGGCGACTTCGAAATTTCAGGGAACTTGGGATTCGAAGATGCATAACTCTAGTAATTTAGTTTAGGGAACGATTTAACTTGCTACGCGTGGATAGTGAGATTTTTGCTTTTAATTTTGAAGATCGGGTTGTTGGATTAAACGTTTGGATGATATTTTGTGGATATTTAGCAAAGCGGGAGTGTTGGGTGTGTATGAGAACAAATTAATGAGAGTACTTGTGTAATGAAAGATCGAAGCGAAACAAAGAAGAATTAGATTTTATGTGAAAAAATGAAGAATTCATCTCTGAAAGAGTTAGTATCATTTACGATGACGTGTATGATCGTCGAACACTTAATCCTTTGTACTCGAGAGGCGACTCTCGGTGATTCGATACAACAGAACTATGAAGTTGAATATTTAATATTTCGAATTAAAGTTTGCATTGCTACGTGAAACATTTAGATAAAACACTTCTGTTGTTTCATTTATCTATGGATTATCGTTAACTTAGTTTCAAACAATGTGACCTATATCTCGTCAGAAAATGTTGAATATTTCCATTGAGAAACTTTCGAGTGCAAAGGATTAATAAGAGTATTTATCTAATGAGATCACAAATATTGTGTTATTACAGAAAAATATCAGAAAATAACATTTATTCGAATAAATTTACTTTGATTTATTTCTCAAAGAATATAGTAAGAAAATTATAATTGATACTAATAAACAGAAGCAAAGGGTTCAAAGGGTTAAAGTCTTATGGAAAAAGAATTCTTTGAATTTGTCGAGTCATTCGTCGAGTCGAATAATTTTAGGGTAATTTCTTTAAGATTCATTAAAATATCTAATATTATTCTTAGTGCAATATTGGAGCCTACAGAGTTCAAAGGTTTAACTGATTAACGAGCATGTTATTCTCTTCCGAGAAGCGTACACGCCGAAGAGGGCGTCGCGCGTTACACAACGAAAAATCAGAGAGGAACTGCCGGTTCCTGAATGAATTATATAACGGGTGGACGGTGAAAAAAAGGGAAAATCGCGCGACGGGGAAAAAAAGGGGGAAGCTTCGTAGCCGGAAAGGGTCCGGCGCTCGCGCGGAATTCCGTGAAATATGGGGCGTCGTTTCGAGACGCGCGGCGGTGTTTCTTTTCCCGTGTGCGATCGCGATCATAAATCACGGGAATAGTTTAATTAGTAGCCCAGCCCTTCGGCCGGTCGAGTGTCGCGATACGGGTCACGGGGAAAGGAAGGGACACTCGTCGCGAGGAGGGCGGGCAAAGGGCGAGGGTCGATGTCGGGTGGAGTGGGAAAACGGAAGGAAGAATCGCTTAATTCGCACGCGCGCGCGCGCGCGCTCGCTTGCGAGCGCTCCGCTCGGATATGTAAATTTAATAACGCCAATTTGGTGTGGGTGCGGAGCGTCGCGCAGGACAGTTTACATGTGCTGGCTGTGCATTATGCATGCGTATTGTGTGCACCTGTTGCCCCAAATCAAGGTTCGCCTCTCCCGCGGAAACCTAATGCCGCATAATTGTGCTTTGAACGCAAACAACGCGGGCGACAACGAAAAAAAAGAAGCCAGGGAGGAACAGGGAGAAAGAGAGAGAGTGAGCGAGAGAGAGGAGGGAGGAAAGAAAGGGGGTTGAAAAACGAAGGGGGAGAGTGAAACGACGCCGGAGCCACGACTGCGCGTTATCTTGCTCATGCGATATTAATGAGACTCATTTTCATAAATGCCGCTCCGGCCGGCATTAAAATTTATATTACTCTTAGACTTACTATCCTCTAGCTGGCCGGCGCCCCCCGCGCTCCGCGGGAAATCTGTGTCGCGACGGGGGCGAAAGCGAGACACCGAGAGGTTTTCCCTCTTTCCCGCGAGCCGCCTTTACGTCGAATTCAATCGCTTCGCCACTTGAATCCGCTCGCGTGTTCGTCGCTGTTGGTTTAGTTCCCTCCTCAAGTTGACACCCTAGAGTTTCTTTAGTTCCCTCTTCAAGTTCACGCTTACCTTAGGGTTTCTTAGCTCCCTCTTCAAGTTGACACCTAGACCCTGGAGTTTCCCACTTCAGTTCCCTTTCCAAGTTGACACCTGGACTCTAGAGTTCCTTACTTTAGCGCCCACTTCGGGCTATCTAGACCCTAGACGTCTGCGTTAGGGTTTAATCATTCCGTAAATCGCCGAAGGCTATCGTACTACGTTAGAACCAATTATCCATCGGAAACACGTGTTTTTGAGACAGGCTGTTTGAGAGCGCGTCCAAGACGAGGTTCGGTTGACAAGTTGACCCTTTGCACTCGAGAGGCGACTCTCAGTCACCGTTTGATTTGATGCAACAAAATTAGTGTTATATATTATATTAACTTTCGTAGAATGCATCGATATGTGAAATATTGAAATAAAATAGCTTTGTTTCTTAATTTATGTGTTTTCTCATTAGTTCGTCTCAAATATCGTCTATGTCTCATCGGAAAGTGTCGGATGTTTCTAGTGGAAAGCTGTCGAGTGCAAAGGGTTAACTCGAGGAGTTCGGGATGTTACTGTGCGTTGATATAATTCTACTTTGGATTTGTGTTATATCTAAAATGTTACATAAACGTAGGATTAGCAATTAATTTTTGGGCGCGCAACACCGAGCGAAAGGATTTCAATAGCTATCAAAGGAAAAGCTGTACGAATCCAATGATTCTCCGTTCCCAACGGTGAAAAGTGCCGAAGCAAAGGTACGAACTAACGTTTTATTGTACCGTCAAATAACACGTTTGAGACGAAGAGTTCCACGAAATCCTGCGAAACTCGGACTTCGTCCAGAAAGGATGAATGTTCCAGGAAGATGGCCAGGTGGTTCGTTTTCCTTGCAGCGCGGGAACGTTATCGCCAGGTCCGCGTGGGCCGCGGCGCGTAGCGGTCCGATAAAAGCGACGAAAGTAAATCAAGGTGCAAGGCCGACATTTAGACAGATACTACCTGCGGAGAGGCTCCTTTTGATTCCCACGCGACAGTGACGCCCTGTCATTTTTGGGCGCACAGGCTACCAACCCAAGAATCTCCTATCCTCTCAGAACGGAGTCACGTACACCCATGTTCCACCGATTCCTCCTATAATCATCCGATCTGTTCCTCCGCGATCGCGTTAGACGTCCACGGCCTCGTCTCCGACGCGAACGGTACCCCGGCTATCGTATTCCGTGATCGAAAACGATTTGCAATAGAGGATCGGCCGTCCGACCGCAAGCCTTCCGATCGATCCACGGCCGGCATCGACTTCTCGCCGGTTAATACCGATGCGCCGCGCGGAGGGACCAGCTGTTTGTCACGGTGCAATGAGTTTCGCGGCCTGCATGCGTACACGGAGTTCGCAGCAGCCTCGCCCAGATCCCGCGGAATTTCAGTTCGATCGGTAACACACTTTTCAGGGGCGAAGCGGGGCGGGCCGGGGAGGGCGAAAGGAGAAGAGGAGCGGAGCGGCGCAGAGCCGGGAGGATACCCGCCTCCTCCCCGTCACGTCGCCGCGATCCATCCTCGAGAGCGTCGCGCATCGGGCCCAGGTGAAATATCGTTAATCGAGCGACGCTGGGACCGCGAGAACCGCCGCGGAGGATACATTTTAATAGCCGCGACGCGTACGGCGATATCAATTATCAACGGGACGATCTGGCTCTCGCGCGGGCCCTGATTTATCGTAATAACAGGCCGCGCGCGCGGTCGCCTAGGTATTTATACGCTCGGATGGAAATTCCGCGATCGCGATCGCGCGCGTTTCTCTCCCCGCGGTGACGAACCGATACGACCGCGGTGCCGCGTCGTCCGATTTTCTCCTCGTCCGTGGACATCGAAGCGCGGCCCCGTCCTCCTCGTCTCGCCGCTATCGGGACGCGTACTAAGTTGCATCCCCGTCCCTTTGAAAATAAACGCCGCATTAACGGCCGGTGTAATTATCAAGGCCGATACGATCCGCGGGATCCGCCGGCCGGCTGAATTATAGGCGTTTAAAAGAGGGAACGGCGCGCGGCCGAGCGCACCCTGCCCGATCCTCGATTCCCGCCGAGCGAGTATTCGTGAGCGGCGAACATTAAGGATGCAGAGGCGCGAGAGACGCGAGTTCTCTTGCGTTTCTCGCTAGCCAGGAGGCTGGGCGTACCAGGCGTGGTCCAGTGGCACGTTTCCAACGGATTTCGAAGGAAGCTCGCGCACGCGGAGGGGGACGCGCGGGGGGGCAACGGACGTGTCTCTCCTCCCCCTGCCTCCTCCCCGCTTTCTCGTCTCCCTCGCGCGGGCTTGTTACCAACTCTCTCTCCGAGAGCGGATCTCGTGAGAGGGATCGGCAACGGATCCCGGGGCTAGATCGGCGTCCCAACCGCGAGAGATAAGGCGGGTTTTAGGGTACGTCGCGCGGCCTCTTAATATCCCGTCGCACGCACGCCGCTCGGCGTTTCATTTCGATAGGCTCCGGGAGATTCTGCTCGTCTGAAATCGGCGCGCACTCGACTCCCGATCGGAGGATCCGGTTTTTTCAGATCGACCGTGACGAACTTTGTTTTGCCATCGACGTCGGTTTCGAGTTCTTCCTTCAGCCGAGAACGAGTCGCATAGTTCTGCCTTCGAGGCGTCTTTCAGTCACTTCGATCCTCCAGTCCGCTCCAAATTCAGTCAATATCTTTCGAATAACGTTCGCAACGCGGCGGTAGGTATTTTATTCAAATCCTTTTAAGTCGATCAGAGTCTCCGACAAAGGAGTGCGATCTTTAAACCGAGCGGAAACAGAAATTAAAACCTCCAAATACAGATCGCGGAAACCTCGATAACCGTACCATAAGTAACATCCGAGTAACCGAAAGGACTGATCCACGATCCCCTCGATCCCGGTCCTTAACTCGCCGCCCTTTCGCCTCCCCTTTCATCCGGGGCACGCCGCGAAAGGGCGTGCACCAGTATCCCCGGCGAAACGCGAATTATACAGACAAACAGACCGTTGCGTTCGGCGGGTTTAAAAATAAA